CAATATTGGCTTATTTAATAAGTGCATATGTGACATACTAATTGATTGTAAATATTTTAGTTTACCTTGAAAAGCTTCATAGAAAACACTGACCTCACCTAACCTTCTTAGTATGTTAAGATAAGCATCTTATTGCTTCTTAATTACAATTATTACTTAACCTATACCATTGATATAGGTATATCAATGGTATAGTAATAATTGTAAATTATTACTTAACCTATACCATTGATAGTATACATTACAAAGTAATGTTATTTATTAAGGGTTAAGTAATAATTAAGGTTAAGTAATAATTACAATTATTACTTAACCTATACCATTGATAGGTTAAGTAATAATTACAATTATTACTTAACCTATACCATTGATAGGTTAAGTAATAATTACAATTATTACTTAACCTATACCATTGATAGGTTAAGTAATAATTGTAAATAAGAAGCAATAAGATGCTTATCTTAACATACTAAGAAGGTTAGGTGAGGTCGTTGTTTTCTATGAAGCTTTTCAAGGTAAACTAAAATATTTACAATCAATTAGTATGTCACATATGCACTTATTATATAAGCCAATATTGACTATAAGCAAATGCGAGAATGGGTTGCAACGTGGAGTGTGGTAGTTTCTGTGTAGTTGGGGGATGTAGTATATGTGGGCTTGGTGACGAAACATAATCCAGTCTTGGGCAGTTCCCCCTCCCCATCCATACTCCTGCAGCGTTTCTGCTTGTCTGTTCCTCCTTCTGGTTCTACTTGCCTCTAAAAAATTTCCCAGGCTATTATATTGGACTTCCTCTCTCATATAGCGCTGTGTACCTGTCATGTGGAAATCAGGGCAACGGAGATCATAGCATTTCCTCTCATTCACTGAGAGTTTGCATAACTTAGGGTGGAAATATCTACAATCTGGTCCAAACCGACAGCTGCCTTTCCCTAACATGTTTCGTTCATGAATGTGCATTCCGTGCCTCTGGTCCCATATCTGCACTGTCCTTTTGCATAATACCTGCAAATATTTTCATCTGTGCTTGTATTCTTGTTTGTACCCATGCACGACTTGGCTACCTCTGTGTTTTTTGTTCCAACTTTCTCGTTTCCGCATTCATTCTCAGTATTGCCCTTATCTTTCTCCTTGTTGCTTTCGTCTTTCTCATTTGTGTTCTCATCCTTCCCATAGTTTCTCTCCTTACTCCTATTACCAGTTTGCTCTTCAATATTGCCTTCATTTTCTCGACCTCAACACAATGTCCTTCTACGTTGCCAATGTGGCTCTCTAAGCTCTCAGTCCCTGGGTTGTGTTCAGTGTTTGTTGCTGTTTGACATACTCGGCATACATTTCTGGTAGCTTTTGTGTGAATTGTAGCCTGTGTACTTCAGGAATGTCATTCATTAGTTTGGTGATGTTTTCCCACATCAGTCTATCCTTGTGACAGATCCAGTAGTTACCTTGTCTGTTTATATATTGTGTAGGTATTCCTGTACAACTCAGGTAAAATCTTATGTTACAAATGTTAAATACAATCCCTACAACACTCTTCCGAAGTAGCTTAAAGCATCCTCCACACGTCTCCATGTTGGGTTTGTGGCGTAGAGGTTGTCTGTTCCCCTATTTGTGATTTATTGTCGATTTATCCTTTGTTGACTTCAGTAATTTTACTATTTATAATATTATATGAATATATTTATAGTATTATATGCAAACAAGCCTGAATGGTCCCCAGGGCTATATGCAACTGAAAACTCACACCCCAGAAGTGACTCGAACCCATACTGCCAGGATAAGTATTATATGTATGTATATATAATATGTATACAGTATATTTATAATATTATATATGTTTATTTGTTCAACTTTATGAAGGGGGGTAACTTATCGCCTGGTGGTGAAAACGGTCCTAGTTTTCAGCTGACCGTTGTTTGTGTCACAGGTCGCGGGGTGGGGGGATGCCACCCATTGCCAGTTCCTTGATTTATAACACTGAATTATTTGCCTGTATTATCCTAAGGATTTTCTGTTTTCTTTCCAACTTGTAATGGTATTCACTTACTCTATTACTAGTTCCTAAATCCACATTCCTGTATGACAGTATATATATATTGCCAGTATGTTATCACTGAGGGAAGTCCTATACACTGGTAGGCCTCTTGGCTGTGGTGTAAACACTGCCTGCCTGCCTGCCTCCCTGCCTGCTTCCTCCCTCCCTGCCTGCCTCCCTGCCTGCCTCCCTCCCTCCCTGCCTCCCTCTCTCCCTGCCTGCCTCCCTCCCTCCCTGCCTGCCTCCCTCCCTGCCTGCCTCCCTCCCTGCCTGCCTCCCTCCCTGCCTGCCTCCCTCCCTCCCTGCCTGCCTCCCTCCCTGCCTGCCTGCCTCCCTCCCTGCCTCCCTCCCTGCCTCCCTCCCTCCCTGCCTGCCTCCCTCCCTCCCTCCCTGCCTCCCTCCCTCCCTCCCTGCCTGCCTGCCTCCCTCCCTGCCTCCCTCCCTCCCTGCCTGCCTGCCTCCCTCCCTCCCTGCCTCCCTCCCTCCCTGCCTCCCTCCCTCCCTCCCTCCCTCCCTGCCTCCCTCCCTCCCTCCCTCCCTGCCTGCCTGCCTGCCTCCCTGCCTGCCTGCCTCCCTCCCTGCCTGCCTGCCTGCCTGCCTGCCTGCCTGCCTCCCTGCCTGCCTGCCTGCCTGCCTGCCTGCCTGCCTGCCTGCCTGCCTGCCTGCCTGCCTGCCTGCCTCCCTGCCTGCCTGCCTGCCTCCCTGTCTGCCTGCCTCCTCCCTGTCTGCCTGCCTGCCTGCCTCCTCCCTGTCTGCCTGCCTCCCTCCCTCCCTGCCTGCCTCCTTCCTGCCTCCCTTCCTCCCTGCCTCCTCCCTCCCTCCCTGCCTCCTTCCTGCCTCCCTCCCTCCCTGCCTCCTTCCTGCCTCCCTCCCTCCCTGCCTCCTTCCTGCCTCCCTCCCTCCCTGCCTCCTTCCTGCCTCCCTCCCTCCCTGCCTCCTTCCTGCCTCCCTCCCTCCCTGCCTCCTTCCTGCCTCCCTCCCTCCCTGCCTCCTTCCTGCCTCCCTCCCTCCCTCCTTGCCTCCTTCCTGCCTCCCTCCCTCCATTTGTGCCTCCCTTCCTTCCTTCCTTCCTGCCTCCCTCCCTGCCTCCCTCCCTCCCTCCCTCCCTCCCTCCCTCCCTCCCTCCCTCCCTCCCTCCTTCCCTCCCTCCTTCCCTCCCTCCCTGCCTGCCTCCCTGCCTGCCTGCCTGCCTGCCTGCCTGCCTGCCTGCCTGCCTGCCTGCCTGCCTGCCTGCCTGCCTGCCTGCCTGCCTGCCTGCCTGCCTGCCTGCCTGCGTGCCTGCCTGCCTGCCTGCCTGCCTGCCTGCCTGCCTGCCTGCCTGCCTGCCTGCCTGCCTGCCTGCCTCCCTCCCTCCCTCCCTCCCTCCCTCCCTCCCTGCCTCCCTCCCTGCCTCCCTCCCTGCCTCCCTCCCTGCTTCCCTCCCTGCTCGTACTCGGGTCGTCAACACTACTTGTTTCAGAGCCTATGCCACTGAAGCCTGAGAATGATTCATCACAAGTACTGTCACTGAATAAACTTGCACCAGAGGATACACATGGTGGTGATGTCTCTAGCAGTGTTGACCTAGGGCAGCGAAATTTAAAAAAAAAATGGCAGACGATCACTGAGGGGCTCTCAGGCATCCATTTTGTACTCGCTTCATTGCGCACCAGTTTTGAATGGTACGCTATACCTATAAGATCCCTGAGGCGTGTTGCGCACCACCCGTCGAGCGTCTACAGGCACGTTGCTCAGTGCAGTGGTTAAAGAAATGTCGTTTCCTGAAATCAGGTTTTTCAACTGCCTCAACCTCATTTTCTTCCAGATTATAATGCATTACATACTTTATTCTCAAAAAAACATGGTCACTTTTACCCAAGGGAAGAAGGTACTGAATGTCAAATATCTCTTCCTCTTTCCTGGCAAATATCAAATCTAGCATGGAGGGCACATCCCCTTCCCTCATCCTCGTAGTTTGTTTAACATGTTGAAACATGAATGTTTCCAGGATGAGATTTACAAACCTACAAGTCCAAAAATCCTCTGTTCTAGCTTCATATGCTTCTCAGTCTATGGAATTCAAGTTGAAGTTGCCGACTACCAACAGTTGTGATCTATCTTAATCAGCTCTCACTATAATCTCTCTTATTATTGTTATAAGACCCCTCACCTTTATTATCCAGCTCCTCCTTTGACCATGTGTTGCATGGCGGTGGACTATATGCATTTATGATCATTAGTTTATCAACCTGATTGCAGATCTCTAGTGCTATTGTCAACTTCTCGTGGATTGGCAATCATTATTTTCTTTACCTTTAGGTGTTCTTTCACCAGCACAGCAACACCACCGCCTTTCCTAATTTTTCCGTCCCGTCTCCAAACTGAGTAGCCCGTTGGGAATATGACCTCATTTAAAATATCAAATTGTGACTGTTATTGCCTGTCTGACTGCGAGTTGTGACAGTGAATGCCTGCCTGACTGTGACTTGATCTTGGCTGCCTCTGACTGGTTATGACTGTGACTAGCTCCAACTCCAATTCTGTTATACAGCAGCATAACAGAGGCAGTGAAATCTGTGAAGGGAAAATGTAACCGCTGGCCTAGCGAAGGGGCAAGGTTGTCACAACAAACATAATAGTGGCCTCTAGCTTAATGCATGCTGGACCCCTGTAAACTCAATACCGTATTCCGGACTTAACAACCAAAAACTTGGTAAATAAGGCACCAATTAACGATCTAAAAATCGGTCGTTAGAATCGGCGGAACGGTAAATAAGAGGTCCTTAAATCGAGTGGGTACGGACATTTCATTTGCGCCCCATACATATACTAAACTGTACCTGTGTTTCCACTAGTATATAATATACACATATAAATTGCATTTTCATGTATATACATTTCTTTTATTGGGCCATGTGAATGGCTTCTTTATATTTGTAAATATATTTCAATAAACTTGTGAACTAACCCTTCATTGAAGCAGTTCTCCAATATATTTCGACAGCAGCGTCAAGAGGGAAACACACTTGAAGTCACTCAAGGTTCTGGCCCCATGGAAGGCGAGGCACTAATTACACGAGTTAACAAGGCTGTCACTGCAATTACTACACGTATCCAATCCCTTGCATCTATTGATGGTGCAGACAGCAAGGTAAGAATACTCTGAATATCACTTGAAAATTTAAAAACTCTTCCCTTAGTCATTGTTAGCTGTCATGGCTTCTAATACACTCTTTCCTCACTTGCTAACAGCCAGGCCAGCCACCATCACCAACACTGTAACTGTTCTTTAAAATGTTTTATAGTCATTGCCCACAAGAACTGTTAAGCTTGAATTTGTGATATTCACCGTTTCTATGGAACAAGCCGACAATACTTTCCATTCACTTCCAATATGTCAGTGCTTTTTAACCCCCTTATATTTTCTTTTATTGGATTAGTCTTAATTTCTTACTTTCAAAGATATTTTCCCAAATTATACCACCTGTGTATTTTATTGCTAATAAACAAGTGCCACTTCTTTCCAGCTATACGGTATACAGTTTTAACTATTATGTACCATTTGTAGGGTCAAGTTTTATTAACACTGTGCATTATTGTTTTATTTTAGGTAACGCAGCTAGTGCGAGCAGTAAACTGCATAGACAACCTGTGCCGCATGGACCCAGCATGGCACCCATGGTTGTAAACAATAATGCCAGTATTAATTATAATGACATGCCAATTTCTTGGTAAGCCCCAGTGGCTTCCTGAAGAGATGAGGTGGCTCCCAATTACCAGATCACATCAGCCATAGGGTTCAGTTCAGCCTACCAAGAACCAGAGCCAGAACCCACAGAAGGGACAGACCAACTCCACCGCATGCTGTACGAAATTATCTGAACAGTCCACAAATTGCAGGACCCGAAGCTGGCAAACCAGGCAATCCCCTCCCCCCCCCCCCACACACACACACACACACACACTCATATATATATATATATATATATATATATATATATATATATATATATATATATATATATATATATATATATATATATAATATATACTGTATATATATACTGTATATATATATATATATATATATATATATATATATATATACAGTATATATATATATCAAGGGAAAGAGTGCCTTGGGATTTCTCAAGGAATTGGGCTCCAAGCTCATTGATGTCACCAGAGACCCAAGAGCTGCCAGTTTTTTGTTTCAGCGCCTCAGTGTGGCAATCCAGAGGGGAAACACCTGCTGCATTCTCGGTTCCTGTCCAGAAGCGGAGGAGCTTCAAGAGATCCATAACCTTTAAGCACTCTTTGTATCAACCAATGTATATCATGTAACCTTTAAATATATATACAGTGTTTTATATATATATATATATATATATATATATATATATATACATACATACATACATACATACACACACACACACACACACACACACACACACACACACACACACACACACACACACACACACACACACACACACACACACACACATCAAAGGGGCAAACCACAAAAGGACCGGTGTGTGTACCACAAGAAGCAAGATCCCTCCATTAAGCATGAGTACAGTTCTGATCAGCAGAAGATGAACTGTCAACAGGAGACATATGACCCAGAATCTGGGTCCACCGAGGGTCTTCTTTGACCAACAGCAGACGAAGCCCCAGCCTTACCCAATCTGTACACCAGTTGATTGACAGTTGAGAGGCAGGACCAAAGAGCTGGAGCTCAACCTCCTCAAGCACAACTAGGTGAGTACCTCCAGAAATGAGAGCAAAAACCTTGAGAACATAATTCCAAAATTGGCTGACAATAAGTGGCCGAAGATGACGGAAGTGACCAACAACATCCTCTGGAAAGAGGAGAGGTGAAAAAAGGGAGGCAGACAAAGAGGGCTAAAGGGCTAAACCAAAGCTTGTCAACATGTGAGGCTGGCAGCATAGAACACAGCCTGGGTGCATACAACTTTGGCAAGGCCACCAATGATGTCACAGCAGGCACCAAAGCACCCACACCAGACCCAGTGCCAAGTGGTGCCTCAATGTCCTCATGCAGTCACTCAGAGTGGAACTCCATGAATGCTAGAAACTGCATGACCTAAGCCAGATATGACCTAACTGCATGACCTAAGCCCAAAAGTACTCAATCATGAGGGCTGCCAAAAGCAAGGGTACTTGGGTATGGAACTGCACCAAGCCTACATTCCAGAAAAAAATAAGAGGAAATAGGCAGTCATTGAGCAGCTCAAGGGGAGGGGCCGCCCAAAAACACCTGAAGGATTGTTGACACCTTACGTCACTCGAGGATGTGGGAACATGAAGAAGCCGCACCATGCCCAGAAATGCAAAAAAAAAAAATTGTCCACTAGCCTGGATGAAAAGAGCAAAAATAGATCATAAGCCACCGATAGAGGGACTTTTGATAGGAAGGAAATCTCCAGAAGGGTGGTCCCGACGGGCCTAGCAGCATGTGGAAACAAATCCTGGGGGGCTGTTGGATTGAAATCAGATTTATACAAAGAGGGAGAGGCAAAAGGCCTTCACAGGAAAGGAATATTCATTTGAGGTTCAAGGGAACCCAAGGGCCCCCTATTTGACTCCACCTGCAAGACCCAGGTACCAACCAGGAAGGATTCAGGACAGAGCCGGTGTCAATACCTACCCCCCCAGATAGAAAAGTAGAATCGATGGAAGAGGTTTCACAAGGGGCTGGCTGAAAGGAAAACCCCGAAACCTCGGCAGGACCAGCCGGCTCAACTGCCTTTATGCCCAAATCTAAAGATGGCCAAGCCACATTGAGCTAATCCTTTGCCTCAGTCTGGAAACCCTTTGATTGTTTCGGGGCCAGAAGCAGGGAGGGGGGTGGAACAGAGGGACTGTGCTTGAAGGGCAAGGGAAAAGGAGGTGCAGACAGATCAAAAGTGATCTGTCTGCACCTCCACTAACACCTCCAAGTTTGGATCCCTAAATACAAGGCAGGCCAGCTCTGGAGTCTCCAGCCAGGCATAGTCTAGACCACCAAAACAAATATGGGCAAAACAAACCCAAAAGTGGTAACTGCCTGATTCATATAAACTTCATTGAGAGGGTCAGGTAAGAGACACCCCATGTGGTGTGCAAATCCTGCAGTACTCCAGGTCAGGTCAAGGTGTCTTCAATCCAACAAGCAGTATGGTGGAGACAGCACGGATGATCGTTGCCCCCATGGCACAGACAATGAGGAACCTTCAAATTCGCACAAGGTGTGAACGAGTTTGGTGGAAATATCGATTGGCTACACAAAACCCATAGGAAATTTCTAGGGGCCTGAAGCAGGAACCACACAGGACATCTAGGCACTAGAGACACTATGCTAGACCTAAAAGTAAGCCGACACAGCCCGGGCTACCCGGGTGCAAAGGCCTACCTCAATGCATTGTATGTACAAGCTCACAAGCTACCAGCACACTCCACCAGCCAATGCTTGCTAGCAACTCTAGTCAAGATAAGGCCAGTCATAGCATACTGATGACCTAGGAGCATACACCTGCAGATATGTTGCATACACTGCATCAGCAAAAGAACCGACTTCTTGAGCCAGTAGACAGCGTGAGGCCTGACCCCCTTACCTTCCCAAATGAGTGGGATGGGTGAGGGTGAACAAGTGCATGCTTGCTTTGAGGGATGCAATTGTTTACAGTGTTGGGGGAGTTATTCTGTAGGTTGTGATGCTTAGATCTTTCATGAACCCAGCAGTGGTCGGCATTGGTTCTCTGACTGACTTTATGCCTTCCCTAGTGAGGTGATGGAGTATCACCTGCTCCCTGCACCTCTGTAGGGAAGGGCCAGGTTCTGTCTGTGATCCCCTGGTAGGCTGAACTGAACTCCATTGCTGATGCGATCTAGTAGTTGGGAGTAAAGACCTGTGAATGTAAATATGTTATTGTCCTATGCAGGTCACATTTTCACACCCATTATAAATGTCCTGTATTGTGGTAGGGAAAATATATATCCTTTTTAAAAGGGAATTTATAAATATTATGTAAATAGATGTCTGAAGGTTTATCTATGAATGTGTGCACACATGTGCAAGACATTTTCTGTACAGTATTTTTAGTAAGCAACCCAGCATAAATTGCTTGACTATTTATTTAAAGTGACTGATAAAAGAATCTTAACTTTGCCTCATATATATCAATAGAAAAAAATATTTATATTAAAGTTCTTGCTAGGTATTTGAGAGTTACTGAATTCTTCTGTGTTTTATATAGGTGATAAATTCAGATTTTAATACTAATCTCCACGTCATGAACTTTGATGTCAAATATTGTTGTACCTGTTGTTGTCAAACATTTTGTACCTGTAGTTTTAATACAGAGTTTGTAAAAAAATGATTTTTAATAAGTATATGGTTTGAATATCCTATAATGTAATGGCACACTGTTAATCCTTCAACTTTGTAACACAACCAGGAATGGTCTCGCTAATTATCCAAAAGCTGCTCAATACAATCAGTGATACCTTAAAGTACTACGTAATATTTAAAACTCCTATGGGTAAATGGGGCTCAAATGTGCCTCCTCAGGCCTCCAGTAAAGATGCCATCTTGGAAAAAAATAACTGGCACCCCTTTTGGATTTGAGGGCCTCAGTACTACAAAGAGAGCAACCATGAGTAAAGCATGCAGCAACAATGTGAAAAGACAGCTCAATTGCCTCCACCATCTAAGTAGATGGGGCCATCCTTGGAAATGGCTGGGCTACCTCAAAAGCTAAACCCTGCCCAGACACTGAGACCCCTCAAAACCTTCAAAGCCAGAGCCCAACAAGTCCTCAGACCAAGTCCATTCCATCCAGTTGTCGACCCTAAAGACACATTCGTCAGTTTTAATATGCTGTTAATTCAAAATTGTAATTCCCTAAATTGAAATTAATATTGTTATATATTAGCATGCAGTGCATATTTAGGCTTAGGTTAGAATAGGAGTTTAGGTTCTATTGGCGTTTATTTGTATACTGTATGTAGTATGCGGGTGAAGCATTTACAGCATTGTAGTTCGAGCAAATGTCATCAGTGAAGCACTAAATTATAATTATTATTATTATTATTGTTAATTACAATTAATATTCCAGACATCCTTGTGCACAGAAATCTTAACAGATATATTGAAAAGGGCAAACATAGTACCAATCTATAAAAATGGTAGTCATTGCAGTCTCCGTGGTGTAGTGGTAAGACACTCGCCTGGCGTTCCGCGAGCGCTATGTCATGGGTTCGTATCCTGGCCGGGGAGGATTTACTGGGCGCAATTCCTTAACTGTAGCCTCTGTTTAACGCAACAGTAAAATGTGTACTTAGATGAAAAAACGATTCTTCGCGGCAGGGGATCGTATTCCAGGGACCATAGGATTAAGGACTTGCCCGAAACGCTACGCGTACTAGTGGCTGTACAAGAATGTAACAACTCTTGTATATATCTCCAAAAAAAAAAAAAAAAAAAAAAAAAAAAAAAGAAGAACCTCTAAATTATAGACCCATAATATGTATTAATAAGCATGGTAACCAAAACAACAAGAAACAATAGTTAAAAGCCAAATAGGTTGAACACTTGGAGAGTAAGGACATTCTTGTACAGCCACTAGCACGCATAGTATTTCGGGCAAGTCCTCAATCCTAATTTTCACAAACACGTACATCCCTAGGAAGCAGCCCACAGCAGCTGTAACTCCCAGGTACCTATTTACTGCTAGGTAAACAGGAGCATCAGAGTGAAAGAAACTCTGCCCATTTGTTTCCGCCTTCACCGGAGATCGAACCTAAACCCTTAGGGCCACGAACACCGAGCGTCAGACCCCTAAATTGTGCAAAATAACAGACTACGGTTTTTGAACAGGAAGATCCTGTGTAACAAATCTACTTAGTTTTCATGATATAAGAGCCACAATATTACAGGAAAGAGGTGGTTGGGTTGACTGTGTATCTGAACCTAAAAAAAG